TCAGTCATTCTCTCATACTTCTAAGCTCCAGAGACCCTCCCCTCACCTCGGTTTCCGCACTCGAGCCCCCGACGAAAGATTTACGTTGCAGAGATCCCCGAAGAGCCCGACGACGCAACTATCCGCGATCGAAGTTCTACTTAACTCTAGTCCCTCTCTTCAAACTTAACGAGTGAGTTCATACCCCTACTTTTCAATTCTTTTTCATGTTTTAGGGGGGAATACAAGTACATTACACGTTAAAGTATCGTTTTATAAACATAAATGAAATTTCTATCTTCGAATATCGATACAAACATCTTATGTATACAAGAGCGATTATGTCACTAAGTTATTTCTACTAAATGGAACATACTATCTGAAAAACTATAATGGGTATAGTTAACAAGTCAGTCCTACATTTTACATATACATCTTGAAAAACGAAACACTTTCAAAAGAAGTAAGGTCATTTCATTGTAAATCTACTTATACTAGGCAATGTGAGATATTCAAACTTCAACGTACATTTTTGTATGCATTTCAAGTCCTGTATTATATACCATAATCTCTTGGAGGGAGAGCGTGATACTTGTGTATAGATCTATACGGGATTGACAATCCCGCACCTAAACTACTAGCTATAGTTAGACCGGCAGGTCTGGGGTGACAAATGTCATAACACTGCAACACCTGAAGAATGTTGTTACAGGCCGTCAGTGTCAATAGTATGGTTATAAAACTCACATAAAAAGTATAAAACAAGATTGATTTACGAGATTCATATGTGCATTGCAGTTTTCTACATTATTTTTCATACAAAGTTGTTTTTATCATTTGAGTATAAAAGATACTAACACATTCCAACTTTGGAAACTTTTGAATCATCTTACAAGAAAATATTGGACTTTCTAAAAACCTCGTTTACCAATTTACTACCAAAAAGGATATACTTTTCAACTCGAAACACTCATGAACTCACCAACTTAATTGTTGACACTTTTCAAAACCACTTGTATTTCTCAGGGAATCAGTGATACAGGTAACTACCAGCTTTTGGGAGAAGGAACACAAAGGATGTTTTTATTATTGAACATTTATCATCATATTGTAATATTCTTTTGATAACATGTATAACGCAACAATATACGTTTTCATTTTATATATATGATGGTTGTGTTACTTTCTTTACAATATTCAATTGTTGTGATACTACGTGAAGTCATCCACCCCCGAATGTTTCCGCCATTCTGGTTTT